AGTGTTGGGATTGCAGGCGGAAGCCTCTGAGCCTGCCCTAGGAGTCTCTTTTTATGCAAAAATGCCCCCAAAATCCAGCCTCAATCCAAGGTCTAAGCAAACCCCCCCCCATTCTAATCCCTTCTCTGCTGGCTTTAACCAGGCCCCATCGGTGGTTCTAATCCTGCTCAACCCCCGACCTAACCCCGCCCGCAGCACCTGCATATCCCGTCCTCTGCTGGTTGCAATCGCCTCCTAGGTTCTAGCCCCTCTCTTTGCGTTCCAGTCGGTCTCCTCTAAAGTCTTCAGGAGCCATTCCTGATCTACACGCTGTGCAGGTTCGAGGCCTGCTAAGTCTCCCCACCCCTTCCCCAAAGACTTGGGTCCAGACCGTGAGGGGGTTCATGAGTTTCGCGCTCTCCCCGATGGCGTCCTCGATGTACTTGCGCTCCTCCTCCGATATGCTGGGGTGCAGCGCGGGGGACTCGTAGGAGACGAGCAGCCAGAACAGGTACCAGAAGATCCCGAAGCTGCCTAGGGGGGGTCGGGAGGGGGAGAGGAGCAGGGTGAGGACCGGCCCTTCTCTGCCCCAGCGCCACCGGGAACCAGGCATCCGGGTCCCTCACCATAGACATAGAAAACGGAGCTCCATCCTGAGTACTGCACCAGTACCCCAGCGAGGGGCATCGCGACTACCGCCCCAGCATAGGAACCTAAGCGGGAGGATGCAGGAGAGAGAACAGGCCCATCTTCCCTCAGATCCAGGGGCACGGACCCCCACTACCCCCACCTTTCAAGACATGGAATTAAAGGCCCCAGCCTCTCCTCCCTCAGACCCAGAAGTCCAGGCCCAGCCCCTCCTCCCTCAGACCCAGGAGTCCAGGCCCAGCCCCTCCTCCCTCAGACCCAGGAGTCCAGATCCAGAGTCCCCTCCTCCCTCAGACCCAGGAGTCCAGACCCAGTCCCTCCTCCCTCAGACCCAGGAGTCCAGGCGTCAGCCCCTCCTCCCTCAGACCCAGGAGTCCAGGCCCAGCCCCTCCTCCCTCAGATTCAGGAGTCAGGATCCCACTTCCTCTCACCGCAAAAGGCTGTCGTCGCCAGGCGACTCCTTTCTAAGGGTGGGGCCCATTTGCTCCAGATCCCATGGCAGGCGGGGTATGTGACCCCCTAAAGAGGAGAAAACGAAGGTGACTGAGAAGAGGCGGGGTCCGATCGAGGGCAGGGTCGCATCAGGCAGGGATTTACCTCTACCAACCCCTGCAGGATCCTCACGAAGATGACACAGCCGTAGTGGACGCGGGCAGCCGAGGGGATCAGCATGTTTAGAGTGGATGTTGCCACAATAGCAAAGCCGAAAACCCTGATGGGAACGGTCAGAGAAAACGGTCCACGCTATCCTGCCAAGCCTAGGATTCTGCCTTTCCAGCCCAGGGCAAGCGAGACCCAGTGTTCCCCAGAACCCCAGGTCCTCCCACCTCTCTGACTTCCACCTTCTTTAATCGCAAGCCCCACCTTTCTGTAAGACCCACCCCCAAACCCAGGTTCCTCCCAGTTCCCAGAGCCAGCCCCCAAATTCAAGACCACGCACGCCCTCTAACTCCACCCACACAACTATTGTTACCGCCCACTTTGAGACCCCACCACTGTACCTGTTGGCTGCAAATTTTTGGCAGATAAATCCTCCTGGAATTTGAGTGACAATGTAGCCCCAGAAAAAGGAGCCGTGTATGAGGCCGACAGTCTCTGGATCCCAGCTGAACTGGGCTTTCTGCAGGGCAATATGTACCTTAAATCAGGCGCCCGACCCCGGCTCTGCCGCTCCACCAATCAGCACCCACAGGCTTAGCGCCTCGACCAATCGGCAACAAGGAACCACTCCCGCCTCCAAATGCCTGCCAATCAGAGCTCACACTATCTTTCTGTCAATTAAGATCTGCGAACTCTGCTCTTCCACGTTGCTAGGGCCTATTCTGCCGTAACAACGGGGTCCCTTACCACCTAGAAGCCTTGCTTTGTTGCCTGCTTTTGCCTCCGTGAAAGCCTATGGGCCTATGTATGATGATGACTCCACCTTTTTTTTTTTTTTTTTTTTTGAGACGGAGTCTTGCTCTATCACCCAAGCTGGAGTAGTGCAGTGGCGTGATCTTGGCTCACTGCAACCTCTGACTCCCTTGTTCAATCGATTCTCCTGCCTCAGCCTCCCAAGTAGCTGGGATCACAAGCATCCGCCACCACGACCAGCTAATTTTTGTATTTTTAGTAGAGACCCAGGTTTCACCATGTTGGCCAGGATAATCTCGATCTCCTGACTTTGTGATCTGCCCGCCTTGGCTCCCAAAGTGCTAGGACTGCAGGCGTGAGCCACCGCGTCCAGCCAACTCTCTCCAATTCTATCCACTTTATGAGCTGTTTGCGGAGTGACGGTCACAGGGTCCAGGCAGGACAGGAAGCAGCCAAAGGGGCAGGCCAGATTGTAAGGGAGCAAGGGGAGGAGCTTCAGGTAGGACAAAAACACAAATCAGGACTTTTTTCTGATGCAGGGACAAGGCCTGTGCTGAAATTAAAATAGGAGAAAGGACAGGGCGCGGTGACTCATGCCTGTACTCCCAGGACGGAGGCCAAGGCAGGAGGATCCCTTGAGCCCAGGAGTTCAAGACCAGCCTGGGCAACATAATGAGATTTGTCTCTACAAAGATAAAAATAAGGCTGGTCGCGGTGGCTCACGCCTGTAATCCCAGCACTTTAGGAGGCTGAGGCGGGCAGATCACCTGAAGTCGAGAGTTTGAGAGCAGACTGACCAACGTGGAGAAACTCTGTCTCTACTAAAAATACAAAATTAGCCCGGCATGGTGGCGCATGCCTGTAATCCCAGCTACTCGGGAGGCTGAGGCAGGAGGATCGCTTGAACCCGGGAGGTGGAGGCTGCTGTCAGCAGAGATCACACTATTGCACTCCACCCTGGGCAACAAGAGTAAAACTCCGTCTCAAAAAAAAAAAGTTAGCTGGGTAGGGTGCTCAGAAGGCTGAGGCAGGAGGATCACTTAAGCCCAGGAGTTCAAGGCTGCAGTAATTTTGCCACTGCACTGTAGCTTGGGCGACAGAGTGACGGCGCCACTGCACCGTAGCCTGGGAGACCCAGTGGGTCTTTAGGTAAGGGACAGAACACATGGAGCGGGACGTAGGCGGTGGCAAGGCTTCAAAAGAGCCAGGATCAAATTCAGGGAGGAACCTGAGATGGGACTGGGATTAAATAAATGTGACCTGGGGACATGGGCTTGGGGTACCGGCATGATCAAATTTGCTAGTAGGCCCAAAATGGGGCAGGGGCAGCCCATAGGGAATCTGATGCTGGGGCGGAGTCTACCTTTTTCAACCAAGCCGCTGGAAATAAGGGCGGGGCTTCATTTACATCAGGGAGGGGCTTAGGAAACAGAGGCCCCTAAGGCGAGGTCCGAACTAAGGGACGCAAGGGTTGGGCGGGGCTACTCCGGAAGCGTTTCAGAAGGGGCGTGACCTGGGCGTTTGTGGGCAAATGTGACGTCATGGGGCGTGGGCGGAGCTCGGGGGCGGGGCGGGGCTCTTCGAGGGATCAGGCCTTGAGCTACCTGCACCACCACGTGGCCCCCACGGTGGGTCGTGCTGTTATTGACCATGGAGACAATGGCCACGCCCAGGTTGCAGCGGATGCCAAAGCTGATGCAGAAGCCCAGACCACTCATGATGGCGATAATGTAGCGGCGAGGGAGGCCGAAGCAGGTGCAGTCCACCACCGGCGGGTCCCGGGTCTGCGTGGTCACCGGGCGCCCATCCGCACTCAGCTCCAGCGTCTCCGCGCCTTCCTGCCGCTTCTCCAGAAGGCTGCGGGGCAGCAAGAGCCAGAGACTCGGAAGTCCAGGCCCCCAGCCCCCTCCGACCCAAGACACAGGATCCAGGACAAAATCTGCTTTTCAAGACCCAGAATTCAAGACCTCCTCCTTTACAAGAGTCCAGGTCCCTGGCTTCCTTCGCTCCCCCAGTGCCCAGAAATCCTCTGTCTCCCTCAGACCGGGAATTCAGGCCCCAGCCCCCTCCTTCTTCACACTGAGGGCCTTCCCTCCCCCACTCCCCAGCTCTGTCAAATCCCTCAACTCAGGAGTTTTAGACCCCAGACAACCTTATAGGATTCAAGAGCCTGTGCCCCCACTCGGAGGCCCACTCCAGCCACCTCTCCCGGATAAGAGTCTATTCGAGGAAGCAAAAGGTGCTAAGGAGATGCTTCAGCAAAGGTGTCAAAAGAACAGATGCTTCTCAGCCACTTCTGCTAGGGGGTGGGGAGATGTCCAGGACCCTGGGAATCCAGCAGCCCGTTCCGGGCATCCCTAGGGAACCTTGAGTCCAGGCTGTCAGCCTAGGGGGTAGGGAGGGGGAGTGGCGGGTGGTGTCCTGGCAGGGGACAGATGGCCCTGGTAGGGGGATTGGCTCATTCCCCAGCGTGACTCTCGCCCCCGCCCGTTCTGGATCCAGAATCGAGTCTGTGATGACGGAGAGGGTATTTGGAGGGCTGCCTCAAACCCAGGGAGAGGCTGCAGAGAGAGGTACCTTCAGACAGGTGGAGAAAGACCCAAAAAGAGGGTGACTAGAGATGGGGGGAGTTGCACAGAGGCCCGGGGTGGGGGTCACAGATAGAAGAAGGGAGAGAGGAGCAGAGAAAGGGGGACAGAGATCCAGAGAGGAAGAAACAGAGACCCACAGGGAGGGAGAGAGAGTGACAGGGGAGCAGAGACCCAGAGACAGAGAGGGAGACAGAGACCCAGAGACAGAGAGGGGGACAGGGACCCAGAGACAGAGAGGGAGACAGAGACCCAGAGACAGAGAGGGGGACAGAGACTCAGAGAGAGAGGGGGACCCAGAGGGAGAGGGATAAAGACTCAGAGAGAGGGGGTCACAGAGACCCAGAGATGGAGACGGACAGAGACAGAGAGTGACAGAAACACACAGAGAGGAACACAGAGACTCAGAAATAGGGGGACAGAGACCTACAGAGGGAAGAGACAGAAACCTAGAGAGGGAGGCAGACAGAGTCCCAAAGAGAGGTGGGGACAGAAACCCAGGAGATAGGACATAGATGCAGAAAAAAGAGAACAGAGATCCCGAATGTGAGAGAAAGATGGAGAGCCTGGGAAACAGAGGCTAGAGAGGCTGGAGACGTGATCTGTGAGGTGCGGCCCTTCTCTGAGGTGGGTAGGCAGCCAGGGGATCGGGCTGGATCCCAGGAAGGGCTGGAACAGATGGAGGCGAGGGAGACTGGGACGGGGGAGGAAGGAACAGCCAGACGGTCCAGGAGGAGGGAGGTGGAAGTGCTGCGAGAACACAGCAACCCCTCCCCATCTTAGAACTTAAGGAGGTGGGGAGGGGCGGTTAAGAAACAGGGGTGGGTGAGAGAAGCCGTGGAGTGGACAGAACCCAGGGGGAGCAAGAATGAGACCCTAAGAGGAAGAAGACAGAAGGCCAGAGACAGCGGGGATTGAACCCACTAGGGTTCAATAGTACCGGATGGCAGGGACTCCCCCCACCCATCAGAATACATCAGCCAATGAGATTAGACGTTGACCTAGGTTGACATCAGGTGATATTTGACCCTGAAACTCAAGATGTGATTGCAGCCCCTGAAATTTGAGATTCCTTGTTAATATTAGGAGATGTCAGATCTCTAATCAAGCCTTTCTAAATGGAGGGGAGGGGGTCTTAGTATCCCACATCCATAAAATGGGGGCAAGAGGAAACATGCAAGAGAATAAAGAGGGAACTTCGAGGTGATCTCAATCATTTTAGAGCAAGATGACCAAGGACGCAGAGACGAAGGTGGCCCCGATGCTTTGCAGAGGACAAGGACGAAGAGGGGAGACCCTAGATGGAAATCCCTCTCCCCCTCCCGCCCCCCCGAATGCCCCACATTCAGGGCGGAGGACCTGGCAATGAGGAAAAGCAACACTTCAGAGGCCATGACGCAAAAGCGAGATGGCTCAGCTTCTCTCTCTGTCTCTGTCTCTCTCTCAACCTGCCTCTCTCTCTGTCCCTTTCTCTCCTTCTCTCAGGATCTCTGTCCATTCCCCCACGTCTTTGTCTCCTGCTGTCCCTCTGCACTCTCTTCTCTTCCCATTGTACAACTAAGGAAACTGAGGCTCGGGGAGCAGAAGTGGCGCTCCAAGGTCACAGTCAAGAACAGTGATGGGACCTGATCCTTTACTGGCCCTCAGCATCCCCCTGCCCAAGACCTGCCTCTCAGAAAGGAGGCACCTTGGGTTCTCATCTCTCCGGCATCCCCTTCCCCCATGTCCTTGTCCCAAGTCGCCCTGCATGCCAGGGAGCTCCCCCCGACCAGCTGTGACATCAGTCATCTCAAGGAAGATCTCTGTCCCAGGCTTGGGAGGGAGACTGACCTGGGTTCAAATCATGGGGCTCGAACTTATCCACTGATCCCCCCAGCCCCAGAATGGAGCCTCAGTTTCTCCATCTTTGTCTAGAGGATTCAATGGGATCAACATGTTGTGTCCAATATAGAGTATTCCCCTCTCCCTCCAACCAGCAGGGTGAACCCCAGGCTTTGGATGCAAATGCTCTTCTCTGTGCAAACTCCCTGCTGATGGTCCTGGCCAGACCTGGGGGATCTCTGGGGACCCAGGAGGTAACTCAGAGATGTGAGAGCCAGGAGAGATGGACTTCGAGAAACCCAAGCACAGACGAGAAACTGAGAGGCAGAGACTAGCGGGGGGGGGGGGGGGTGGCTAAGGAACACATCCCTCCCACTGCCACCCCCAGCCCCTCCACCAGCACGTCTCTTTCTCCCTCTCTCATTCTCCTGACTTCACACTGAGGTATTTTGAGAGACTCGTGAAAGGAGGCGAGAAAAAGGGTGGGGAGGGGCTGGAAAATTGGAAAGAGAAGGGGTGAGGTTATCTCAGCTTCCCCTCCACCACCAAACCCCGTCACTGCGCCATCCTCCTGCTCCCCCTGCTTTCTGTCCAGCCTTATTCTTGTCTCTCATGTTACTAGAGGGTGGGGTAACTTTGGAGCTAAGAGGTGATCTGCAGCAGTAAGACTGATGTTAGACTTAGCAAAGGACTGCCTTGGCCTAGTGAGATGGACTAAAGCTCAACAAAAGACAGAGTCAGGGCCTGTGGGCCAAGGGGATAGGCCTTGAGGGCATGGCGGCAGGGGCATGGTGTGATGAGGCCATCTCCTTCGTGCACTGTGGCCAGATATATTTTTAGGCTTTTCCGCAGCTGAGTAATTTCTCTGACTTGGAGCCAAAGCTGGGTTTGGGGGTGAGAGGCTGTAGGGAGGTGTCCAGATTACCCTGGGGACACCTGGGTCACTGGGGTTATCATCCTGGCTGGGAGGGAGTCCTTCTCAGCTCCAGCCTATATCCTTTGGGAAGGTTGTCCTATACCCCAGGAGCCAACATATTCGGCCTCCAACTCCTTTCTCTCCCAGGGACCCAGGGTGCTCTGACTTCTTCCACCCAGCTTAACCCCTCAAGGACAACAGGCTATGAGCCCCAATCCGCTTTAGCTGCAGATTAAACTCCGTGCCAGGCAGAAACGGAAGAAGACACAGAGACGGAGAGACCCATGGTGGTAGAATTAAAACCCAGAGACGGGGACAGAGATCCAGAGAAGGAGGGAAGCAGAGATCCAGGGAGGTGGAGAGACCCAGAGAGAGGAGGACAGAGACTCCAAGTCAGGGGTGGAGAGAGATCCATTGAGAGCAATAGCCAGAAAACCAGAAAGAGGGGGACAGAGACGCAAAGAAGCCGAGGCAGAGATCTAGGGAGAAGGAGGGACCCCGAGAGAAGCGAGTGGAGATCTGGAAAAAGAGAGACGGGAACCCGGAGAGAAAGGGGGCAGAAACACCCAGAGAGAGACGGGGACAGAGACCCAGAAATGGTGGGGGAGGGAACCAGAGACCCGGGAGAAAGGAATTTACAGCACCAGAGAAAGCGTGGAGCCGGGTTGGGGGGACGCAGGAAAATGAACAGGATAATGGACAGGACTCGACCAGGGCGAACGGCGCCGTCGGAGCCCACGGGAGAAAGCTGGACAGATGGGTGGACCCCCATGCCGGGGTATCGCTCTCCATCTGTCAGTCTTCTCCCAGGTGGGAAATAGCATCCTCCTCGGATCCTCCCACTCTTCTCCTCCCGGGACCCCTCGCCAGGCTCACCGGTGCAGCTTCCCGAGGGCACGACCCGCTAGCTTCCGAAACTCCTCCTGGCGGAACTCCATGGTGGCGGCTCCTGCAGCCGGTCACCCCGCCGATCACCCTGCCGGTCCCCCCCACTGATCCCCCCGCCCGCGGGCCCGGGCGGCCGCGTCCGGGTTCCCGGGGTCCGCCCCGGCCCGGCCGGCCCCGCAGCTCCGCTCGGGGGGAAGGAGGCTGCGAGTGCAGGCGGCCCGGGGGCTGTCACAGGACTCAGCGCCGGGGGCGGGGCGCTGGAGGCCCCGCCCCCGCCCCACCAGGCCCCGCCCCTCGTCTGCCAGACCCGCCCCCCTCTCAGCCCTTTCATCCTCGTCCCGTCCCCCACGAAGCCTCCCAAGACCACGCCTCTGGGTTCCGAACTCACGCCTCCGAGTTCACGTCCCCCAATTCTGTTCCTTCCCCAAGCTACTCCCCCTACCCACGTTCCATCCCCATGGTTCCTACCCAGATTTTCTCCCCTCTCCTGAGTTCTTATCCCCATCATTTGTCTCCCCCACTTCTGTTCCCCCTAATTTTGCCCTGCATTTTCGTCCCTCACAATCCTGTCTTCTCTGACTTTCCCTCTAGTTCATCCTCCAGTTCCTTCGCCCCTGGACTCGGACACACTCCCTGCCCCCCCAGCAATTCCATCCCCATCCCACCTCATCCCCAATTCCAAAGGTCTCATCCAAGGAGTTATTTCCTTTCTCATTCAAAGAAAATTCTCTCTCCTAGCCGGGCGCGGTGGCTCAAGCCTGTAATCCCAGCACTTTGGGAGGCCGAGGCGGGTGGATCACGAGGTCAAGAGATCGAGACCATCCTGGTCAACATGGTGAAACCCCGTCTCTACTAAAAATACAAAAAATTAGCTGGGCATGGTGGCGTGTGCCTGTAATCCCAGCTACTCAGGAGGCTGAGGCAGGAGAATTGCCTGAACCCAGGAGGCGGAGGTTGCGGTGAGCCGAGATCGTGCCATTGCACTCCAGCCTGGGTAACAAGAGCGAAACTCCGTCTCAAAAAAAAAAAAAAAGAAAATTCTCTCTCCTGAAGTCCAACTCCTACATCGATCCACCTGTCGTCCTCCCCTCGTCCCTCTGGCCACCCGGGTTCGTCACCCTTGAGCTCCATCCCCTCCTGAGTTTCCATCTTTCCCCTTTGAATCCCAAACTCCTTCAGCTCTATTCTCCCTCCCGCGCCGCTCTCCTCCCTGTTGCTTCTCTCCCTGAGTTTCATTCCCTAACCCCGATTTCCTTCCTCTGGCTTCCGTCCCCCACAGTTATGTATTTCACACACCCCCACCAGTGCCAGCTGCGACCCCATAGTCTCCCCACTGTGTTATTTTCCGGATCCTATGGGTTCTGTCCGCGCTCTGAGTTGTTCCCTAGCTCCCGGGGATCCATTCCGCTATTTGGGCTCTGTCTCCACCGGCTGAGATATGTCCCCGCCCCCTAAACTGTGATCCGCACCCCCTGGCATTTGAATTTGTCTCCTCCCGCCTTCTGAATTTGTCTCCTCCCTGAGGATCTCTCGTTGACCTGAGTTCTGCCCCCGCCCTCTAAGTTCTTTCCCCACCCTTGGAGTTGCATCCCCTCCTCTTAGGATCTGTCCCTGGGATCTGTCCCCGCCCTCCGAGTTCTGTCCTTGGCCCCCGGAATCTGTTCTTGCCACCTGAATTTTACCCCGTCCCAATTGCATCTTTCTCTGTCCCCTGGATCTGTCCCCGTCCACCGAGTTCTGACTCCCGCCCCCTGGATCTGTTCCTGCCCTCCCAGTCCTGCCCACGCCCCATAAGATCGGTCCCCGCCCTCCGACTTCTGACCCTCGCCACTGGGATCTGCCCTAGACCTCCGAGTCCTGCCCACACCCCGGAATCTGTCCCCGCCCACCGATCTCTGGCCCCACCCCATGAGATCTGGCCCCGCCCACTGAGTGCTGGCCTCCGCCCCTTGGATCTCTCCCGGCCCTCCAGTCCTGCCCCCACCCCCGGGATCTGTCCCCGGCCTCTGACTGCTGACCTTCGCCACTGGAATCTGTCCCCGCCCTCCCAGTCCTGCCCCGCCCTATGGGATCTGTCCCCGCCCACTGAACCCTGTCTCCACCCCTGATTTCCAGCCCCGCCCCTCTGGGATTAGAGCCCCGCCTCTTACCCCCACCCCCTCAGGTCCTCAGACCAGCCCATCTCCCGGCGGTGAGTCCACCTCCAGATCCAGGCCCCAGGAGGGTGATCCTTTCCCCACTAGCTCCCCGCGTCGGGCCGCAAATGCATTTGGTATTAAATTTTCATGATGTGGCGCGTGGTGGGGTGGGAGGAGCAGGCGGCGCGGCGGGCGGGCGCCAAGGATGGGGTGGCCGGGAAGCCACTGACCGCCGCAGGCTCTCGCTTCCAGCCTTGACTGTCTAGGTCTCTGGGTCTCACAGTTTTGCGAAACCTCTGGGACCCCAGAACGGAGGAGGCTGCAGGTCTGAGGCAGGAGGGAGGTAGGGACCGAGACTCACGGGGCTGAAAAGAGGAGCGCGGGAGCCGCTCACACGCGCCACCCAGTGGCTGCAGAGTCTCCGGCCCGGGTGCGGAGGCGGTGGTTGCGGCTCCGGGCCAGGTGTGAGGGTGGAGCAGATGGTGAAGAGGAGGGAGTGGGAAGGGGCCCCGCCGCTGCCAAAAGCTGGGTCTCTGCCGAAACCATCACCATGGAAACAGAGGAAGGAAGAAACGACCCAGCCCCACACTTTTTCAGGACCTGGGAATGAGTTACTTGGCCTCCTGCAGCGGCTCCCCAGTCCCAACTACAAGTTCCAGCGGCCTCTAAGCCTCACCGTTCGCTTGAGAAGGGCCGCGCACTCCGAGGGCCGCTGGGAGTTGTAGTTCTCTGAAACTATGGGCAGTGATACGTTGCGCCCCCTGGTGGTCACAATATCCACGTTCGCTCATTCATTCTGCGGCCGGAAAGACCCTACCCGAAGTCACTCCCATCCTGACTTCTTCCCCCATCTTCTCTCCCTATCCCTCCCAATTCACCCCATTACAGACACATTGTGATTGGCTGCCTGCCTTCTCCCTCCCTCCCTCCCTTCCTTCCTTTTCTTCTTTACTCTTCTTCCTTCCTTTCTCTCCCCTTTCTTTCTCCTTTCTTTCTTCCTTCCTTCTTTTCCCCTCCCTCTTTTTTCTTTCTCTTTCTTTTTTCCTTACTTCCTTTTTCCTCCCTTCCTTCCTCCCTCCCCTCCTTTCTCCCTTCCATTTTGAGGCAGGGTCTCACTCTGTCGCCCAGGAGCAGCACACTGCAGCCTCAACCTCCCTGGGTTCCCACCTCAGGCTCCCGCGTAGCTGGGACCACAGGCGTACACCACCTCGCCCCACCAATTCACATTGTGCTTTGAGCACTTACCACTGAAATTCCTCCATTTATTTATGGCTCCTAGGATTCGCTAAAGAAGAGGAGGGTATTGACAATTACTTATTATTATTATTTATTTTTTTTTTTTTTGAGACGGAGTTTCGCTCTCGTTACCCAGGCTGGAGTGCAATGGCGCGATCTCAGCTCACCGCAGCCTCCGCCTCCTGGGTTCAGGCAATTCTTCTGCCTCAGCCTCCTGAGTAGCTGGGATTACAGGCACGTGCCACCATGCCCAGCTGATTTTTTGTATTTTTAGTA